AAGTTGGTGTCGTTGATGCCGTCCGACAGCCCTGAGTCCCCTCTCCATGAAATCCCGTTGTTCTTTGGTAATTTTCCGGCTGCAGAAATAACAATTGTTAAAATGGAATATTCATCTATCTTTATTGAGAAATAGTATCTCATCACACTTTACTATTTTTTAAATACAAAGTCTATTCCCAAGGGAAGGGGGGATTTTTTTTTGTTTTATACATTGATAATAGAGTTATATATATATATATATATATATATGAATGTGAAGGGATAACTTTTTTTTTTTCTTAAATTTTTTTTATTTAAATCAAGATTTTAATATAAAATATTTAATTTAAAAACTTAAGTTTCCAATTATTAAACTAGCTCCTTGAAACTAATGATGGAATAGAGATGTTAATGAATGATTTTGATGTTCCTAAAGAAAAAATGAATGATTTTGATGCGCATTGACTATCAAATGCAATAATTATAAAATTAATTAAAGATTAAAAATGTATGCACTACTAAGTCTAATTTTACTGCTGCAAGGTTTCGACCTTACCTAATTAATGGACTAGAGGAGAAAACTACCATTCTGATTTTTTTATCAACAAAATTTGAGTTAAGATGTATATGGTTTATTTTATGCAAAATATATTTTTTTATAATTATTAATAAAAACGTTTATACCCTTCATCAATTGTAATAAGACGTGTAATGTGCACATCTTGAATTTTACATCACTTTACAAATAAAAGTTTTACAGTAAATTTTATAATGTACATTTGACATCAAAATTTATCATAGATGAATACTAATTCATAAATTAAAAAATAATAAAAATTAGGCATTATATATAAGATTTTATTAAGAAAAACATTTTTAATGAAATCATTTTCCCATTATTTTTAAATTTTAATGATACAAAGTTTACCTTTTAAGTTCTAATGACTCAACTCAATCAATGCATTTTACTTTGAAATAAGCAACTAATTTATTCCAGCATTCCCAATATAAGTTAGCTGGCAATAATTAAAAAATGTAAAAATTAAAATTAATTTTAATATCACATCTGTTTTATTAAACAGATTAATAATCTGAAAATCAATTTTTGTTTTTGTAACACAAATTTATGAAACAAAATGTATTGATTACATTTTAGAAATGCCCTTCCTCTATAATTTGATCTAGTTGTGGCTGCAAAATTTTTCCCTCAAAATATTAATGGTTTGGAAAAGAAAAACTTACATTTTTGAGCGTTGAAGAAGAGGAGGGCCTTGTGAAGGGCGAGGGTATGGTTGTCAGGAGAAGGAGGCTTAGACTTGTGCTTAGGCAGAGTCTTGGCGATGATGGTGGGGAGAGCAATTACAACAAAAGCAATGGCGATGGACCACAGCGTCCACTTGAAGGCCTTCTGGCTGCAAACTATGCAACCCAAGTCCACGTACTTCTTCTTCTTCGTCTCCGGTGGTCCGAGCAGCCAGCTCTGCTGGGTCTCATCAACGTAGTGATGCTGCTCATGCGGCTGAAGTGCCGCCTTGTCCCACTCATCCTCCGCCACCACGGGTGCCTCCCTTTCAGCCATCTCAAAAGAACCGCCCCAATGATTCCTACTATGCATGATGATAATTAGTTTCAATGCCTATGAAGAAACAGGGGGGCAAGAAAGAAAGAGAGAAGGTTCTCTATTTTCCGTGGACTCAAGCTTCTCTAATTCCTTATATATATTGTTTGAGAAAGACACAGAAAGTTCTTCCCTTTTTGGTTTTTTTTTTTTTTTCCTTTTGAATATAA